GAGAAGCCTAAGCTAAGACTTAAATGATTAAGAAGGAGCAAGTCACATGAAGAAAGGAAACATTCTAGAAACATTTTCAGACAGAAGACATGTGTGAAAACTCTAAGATGAGAGGTACAGATTTCAACAGGGCAGTCACACAATCAATTTGTGCTTTAAAACAACTCAGGAAGCAATAGGAAAAACAGAAGAGAGAGGAGCCCACTGAACTAATTCTACTTATACTGAATATGCAAAGGTGATTTTGTCTCAGGTAATGGACAAGAAAGCAAAGAGAATTACAGATTTCAGCAACAGATGATACAGAACAAAAGAGAAGAATCTGACAAGAGTAATTCCCAAGTTTCTGAAGGAGTTTCTCAGGAATGATAGTCGTGATGTGCTCATTTGGACGTGCACAGTGTGAAGTACTCTGCAAATAATGAAGAGAGCTAGCAATTAGACAAATGGAAATGAGTCTGAAACTCAGAGAATGAAGCTAGAGACATAATTTGGGAATTGTCTGCAAAAAATGCACATGAAGGTATAGGAATGGATGAAGTAAAGAGAGTACACCATGAGAAGAAAATTCTAAACTTTCCAAGGCCACTAAATACCTTTATTTAAGGGGTGGTGGTGGTAGAAGAGGGGAGAGAATGCATAGTCAGAAAGTAGGAAGCATATAGACAGTTTGTCACAGAACAAAAGGACACAACATGTTAGAAGAAAAATAAAAGAGTGGCCAATTGTGCTAAATACTACTGATAAATCAAGGATGAAGAGGCTATGCAGTGATCTCTACATTCAGAGATGCACAGATACCACGGTGATCCTAATAAAGGCAAATTGCACAGAATAGTTGAGGTAGCCTATGTGGAACATATGCAAAAGTGAATCAAAGACGAGAAAACAGAGATTGCAAGTATCAACATTTTTTATGAGACATTTAACTATGAATGACCGATGAAACACCCTGGGGGAGAGTGCAGGAATGTGTCAAAAAATCTAACGCAATTTTATTTTGAGGAGATGCTTCATGTTCACGAGTAAGATCCAGTGAAAAGACAAAACCCAAAAGGGTTCTTGATGAGGCAGAAAGGGTAGAGAACTGGTTTTTGACAGGAAAGCAGGCATTGTCTTCCATTAAAACAAAAGTGGAAAAGAAAAACACAAAAGAGGAAGGAAAAAAACATTGTAGATTTAGTGGCAAGAAATGAACATAGCACCTACCTGATGCTTTCTTTCTTTCTTCCTTTTGTTTTTTAAGGCAAAAGGCAAAATCCTTTACTAAGAGTGAAGAAACCAGAGGAAGAGTTAGAGAGTTGAAGAGAGATAACTGGAAGAATGAGCTGAGTAGAGAAAAAGAAAAACTGTTAGGCAGTGTGGAAGTTTGACTGGGGTCCGTGATGACAGACAAATGATGGCGCTGATCTGCCTGGGTGAGACTGCCTCCAAGAAGAGAAAGGTGAGTCCCTGGGTCTATGCAGGGTTACGGCACCACCAGATGGGTCTGATGGAAAGATGGAGGGACAGGAAATATTAATACTGGTTAATTTTGCTTACCATGGTCCCATGGGCCAAGCCCTATAAGTGCTTTAGACAAATGGTTCACTTATGCTTCATGGTTACCCTACCCATTTGGTACAGCATTATTTTTATTTTATAAACGAAGAAGCTGAGACAAAAACTAATTAGCTTCTTAACTAGTCACATAAGAGATAAAAAAATTTAAATAAAAAGTGTGTTTGTATGTATAAAATTTTTATCAACTGAACAATCGACCAATGAAATTACAAGTGGTTTTACTATCTTTCAAGTCCATTTGTATGGAATTTAAAGTGTATTTCTTTTTTTCATGAGAGAGACAGAGAAGAACTTGAAACAGGGTCTATACTGTGATCTACCCTGCAAGCTTTTCAGCCACCCAGGAGCACAGGCATGTGTGCATACCCAAGTGTTACGGGTCAAACCAGGACTAACCTCCTTTCATACGGCTTCCAGCACTACAGAGAGTTGTGCCATACACTCACCAAATCCAGAACTTAAAAGCAGCAAGCACCAAGCTAAGAGTTTATATTTACGAGCAAGACATAAATTTTCACATGCTAGCTCATTTCCCCTCAAAATGGTAACACAACATAAATATATAACTTGATGAGGAAAATCATGCTCAAAAAGCTAAATTATTTGTCATACCTTTTATCAAATCCTTGGGGAAAAAAAACAAAAACAAAGTAGTCTCTCTCTGACTCTCTTGCCACTAAGCCCTTACAAAACTAGGAATAACAGGTCTGACTTAATTCACTCAAGAGAACAAAAAACTTTATAGCTGTTTGTTATCACTAGAAATTCTTTCCAAACATCATTCTATCCTATCACATAAGAGAAAGAAAAATAAGCTCTTATTGCTACATTGCAACTAAAAATCAAAACTAAAGTGAAAATAAAAATCTGAAAAGTGTAAAGACCTCAGGAAAAAGTCATTATGTCCAGTTTGTAAACGTAAACACTGAAATAATGAGTATTTAGACTTGTTAATTTTGTAGCAACACAATAATTATGACTGACGAATCTGGTTTCATCCTATAATCACACTAACAACAACAACAACAACAAAAAACTGAGCTTAATCTCCAGCAAATTTAATAAAGAGCTTAGCTCAAGTCAGTTTTCCGAACTGTCTTGCTAAAGAGGCTGTTTTTCTTAACTAATAGAAAAAAAAAAAATAGCAACAATAGGTTAAAAATGGAAAATGCATCTGAAAAAGCTAATATTCTTAAATAAGACTGACTGCAATTACGCACTGCAAAGATTTACTATTAGAGAGATAGATGGACACGTGCTTTTAGAACATAGTTATTAGAAAAATATCTGTATTAATAAGACATGCTCTATCACTTAAAATATACTTTGGTTTTAAACCTTCTAAGAGGGAGCCAGCAGGTCATGTAGTGTTTATGGTGTTGGACTCCCACATGGCCAATTGCTGTTCGAGTACCGGACCTGGCAGCTTGAAAATCACTCTGGGCACAGGTGCATGCATGTTCAAAATCCCAGGAAGAGAATGAAGGAGAAGGAATTGTGGTGTTTCCTTCCCCTCAAGGGGTGATTTCTCACTTTCCCTCTCACTCTTTGGTAAGTGCACATGCCCTATGGCAAAAACCTAAAAGAAATAAACAAATAAATAAATAAAACCTTGTCAGAAAATATCTAGCTTTCATCCTCACTTAAGAAGAGATGTTAAGTAACAAAACTATTCAATATTCCCCATTTTGAAGCACAAGTGCTAAATACTAAGAAAATAAACTGTTCTCTTTCAATTTTCCATTCTAATCAATCAATAGCTATATGAACTATTAAGATTTTATTCACATAGGCTAATAAGGCTGACCTTTATAAAGGAAATAATGTTTATTTTAAACACTAAAATCACCTTCCACACTGACATACACCATACAACTAAATTTGAGAAAATGTCATTGTCTTTTGAAATGCTTAAGTTCTTAAAGGAAAAAAAAACAAAAATGCTCTACTTACCATATACATTAGTATGTCTCTAATCATCACCATAGCTGTTTGATGATCATTCCAAGCTTGATTTAGCGTTTGAAGAAAGTTGTTATTCAATGAATTTAGTACATCTTCTCGCACCTATTAACAGAAGAATTCATTAGTTTGCACATACACACATATACACAAACTCAAACATATATACATGCATATAACTGTTCAATAATTTAGTAAAGCAGAATCCTTAATTTGAAATCAAAGAAATATGCTGTAGGCCAATAGAAGCGTTTTAATCTATACCTATAAAAAGATAATTCCCAAATATGTATGTATAGTCTGAACTTCTCTCATGACCTCTAGAACCACAAAGCAAACTCCTGGGTTTTTGACCTTTCAATGACTTAATATCAAAATCAGAAAAAAATCCTAAAATCTCAGAATGAATTACAAAGCCTTACTAGACTCAGGCTACTGTTCTAGCTCAATTCCCTGCTACACCTGCCCATGTCCATCTTTGACTAATAGTTGAGAGGACTAACCAAAGTCAGTTCTCCAAAGAGTCAAGCAGTCATAAGAAAAGAAGTCATTACTATCAAGGTTCCAATCCCAGCTCCCTGATTAGCTGTGTAACCTTGGCTAAATTATTTAATCTTTGTGTCTCAAAGTTCCCTTATATATAAAATAGGATCCTTCTTTTTGGATAGCTGTGAGGATTAACACTACTAACATACTTAGAACAGTGCCAATTACTCAGTAAACTCTTGACAATTAACTTAGTACCCTCTAGCTACAAGTCTCCATGTTAAATATAGTTAACTGTGCTCTGCCATTTCTTCCGACTTGACTCATAAGGCTCACTCCCTCATTTTATTCAGTTCAAATTTTATCTCCACGGAGAGGTCTTCCCTGACCTCCCTATTTCAAATAACCTCATTATCTACTTCTTTACCTTACACTTCACTTTTCTTCATAGTACACATCATTATCTATTATGTGATATATTTACTTGTTTATTATTTCTCCCATTAAAATGTAAGTTCCTCCTGGCAAGATTTTTGTCTTCATGTTTATCTCCCGCACCTAAAACAGCGCCCATATACATACATACATATATATATATATATATATATATATATATGACCAAATTATTTCATCCTTACCCTCTAATAACATGAATCACCTACAACACGGTAACCTCTCTTAGGGTATCTACTTTGGTACATAAAGTTACCTTGAGTTTTGAAATGCCTTCCTAAAGTCATCCTGATTAAAGACTGCTCAGACTTCAAAAATCCCTTTCCTCAGTTCATAAGCTTAGTATTATCTTTTCCAATAAAAGATTACTGACCACTGCTACTTCCTGCTATGCTACCAGCCCAATAAAAGCTGAATTAGGAAACAGAATGTAGACTCTGGTTCTTGCTCTATGACTCGTTAGTGCATTTGTTCTCTAATTTCCTGCAACACTTTGAGACACCTCGCCAACTCTAGTTATTAAAATCTAACTAGCCTTGCGTGGCCTAGGTCAAGTTTCCAGTAACTCCAGTCTAAACAGACATCTTTCTTCTTCAAACATCCTTTACAATAGTGTGTACGAGTGATTTCTTTTCAGCTTGAGAAGAACCTGAAGGTGATTTTTGAGAAACTAGATCTATTTAATACATGTGTTGAGATACTGATAACTATAAACCCAAATTACAAATACATGTAAGTAAAAAGCTGTTCTGTATTAGATCTCATAGAAACAATTAGCTGAATGTGTCAGAGACTGAAAGAAAATACACACAACACACTATGAGAGTAAGTTCAAAATGAGACTACTGTATCTAATTTATTTTTTCTTATATAGTGAGAAAAAAAGAGGTCATTAGTAATGGTACACATATAATAAGAAAACCACTAGTCTCTATCACATCATTTACAATTATGTATTATACACTTAATCCTTTATTTACAAGACTAAGCTCCTTGACTTCCAAGGTACATCACCCAAAATTACTTCATAAATATACTGACCATATAAATAGTGATAAACACTCACATTGGTTAGTTGACAGTACTATTTAAGATTAATATTTTTATGCAAGAAAGTAACATATAATTTGTTCCGACTCATTAAATCTAGCACTTATCAGGTGTAAATCTCAAGGCAGCAAACAAGAGAATACATATATAAATAAGTCAGCAAGTTGCAAATGTACCTATTTACAAAATTCATCAAGCTTTGTACTCTTTCACTGAACTATTAACAATCTGAGTAAAAATTAAATTAAAATCATGACAATGTCAGGGCAAATTATACTATATGCAGAAATAAAGTAATACATTCCAAACATCAAAATAGACAATTAATTACTCTTAAGGACTTAAGTGAACTCTGTATTCCTCTTGGTTATGAAATCAAGTTAAATGTTAACTATATTAAAATCACCCTGATTTCAGAATACACAAATATGCTTGGTTTTTTTTTTCAGAATGGAAAACTGACCAATTAAATACAAAAGTAAATATTACACAACGAGACATGTCCTCTAAAATCACTGATTTATAAATTTTTAAATTTACATAAATTAAAAATTATATAAACACTTGATATGTTTGATTATATATTTATAAGTTATATTGCCTATTACATATTTATAAATATATCTATATTTTAACAAAATTAAAATGTGATCAACCAGCACAGTATGTCATAACTGCCTTATTTACATCTTACTTCAAAAAATTATCCTGACAAATCAATAACAGTAGATTTTACTAAGTGGAAAACAGCTACTATGAAGATCTAATTTTATGTTCATTTTCGAATAATTATGTATACACACATGCAAACATATGACTAAACAGCATAAAATAAATGCCTTGCATACTTGCTGCAATCTCTTAAGTATTCAGATAACTCCATGACAAAAAAAATCCTTCCTTTAATGCTGTCCTAATTTTTTTCCTTGGGTCATCCCTGTGGTGCTCCATTAGATCCTGGGCAGAGGCAGCCAGATTCCACATGGCCGCCGACAGTTTTAATGCCAGCCCCATGGCTTCACCTTGTGCTCTTACACATGTATGCCCAATTTCCTGATGAAATGGAGAACTAACATAAGGAACAGTTGTATGACCAGACTCCACTGGTGGGTTCTCTATCCTCTCTCACGTGTTAGCTACTATAAATAAATTTTTAAAGTATGAATTTTTCTACTGGTACATACAAAATGGATACCTGCTCAAACATACACAATAAAATGGTAGAAATTACATAAAAATTTAGCCTTTATGAAAATTAAAACAGGCTTCTTAAAAGGTGGCATATAAACCAAAATAAGTAAAGAAAAATGAACCATTATTGTACAAATTATTAACATAATACAAAAAAACTGGAAGAAAAAAATCAAGTAGGAGCCACATGGGATAAGGGTAAAATAACTGTTAACTTCACACCCTTAATACAACCACTGTCATTATTTGCACCAGCAAGGTGAATGGGAGAGAACCCTGCTGTAAAGGTGGTACCAGAAGGAAAAGGGCCTAAGGATCAAGTGTGACCAGCATTATTATTGAAGAAAATCTACATTATGGTTATCCAGATGAAGAGTTGGAGTATCAAGAATGAGATCATTCTTGAAAGAACAAGTAGCCATTGCCAAGCAAGTTGGGAGTAGTATAGAACCTACCCTGACAAACGATGAAATTAGTAGTTGAGAATTGATGCCTCTGCATCACACTTAGCCTTGCAAATGAATAAAGATAAAGCAGTCCAGAACAGTGGATCACAAATCTGATGGAGAATTAGAATCACTTGAAGAACTTTTACAGATTTCAGTTAAGAGAATGAGAACACAAGCCACAGACTAGGAGAAAATGTTTGCAGAAGACATATCTGATAAAGGACTATTATCCAAAATATATAAAAAATTAAAACTCAATGAGAAAATCTTTATTAAAAAATGAGCGAAAAGACTTGAACATACACTTGACCAAAAAAGATACACAGATGTCAAATAAGCATATAAAAAGATGTTCAATATCACAGGTCACTAGGGAATTACAAATTAAAGCAACAGTATGATACTATTACACATCGAAAATGGCCAAAATCCAAAACACTGACAATATCAAATGAAGATCTGGAGCAACAAGAAACTCTCATTCACTACTGATAAGAATGAAAAACAGTATAGTCACTCAGGAAGAGTAAGGCGGTTGCTTAGTAAACGAAACATATTTTTCCCATATGATCTAGCAATACACTTCCCTGTTATATGACTTCCTTGGTATCTACCCATTTGAGTTAGAAACTTTGGCCACATTAAAACTTGTACACGAATATTTATAGCAGCTTTATCACCAAACTGCCAAAATTTGGAAAGAATCAAGATGTCCTTCAGTCGGTGAATAAACAAACTGGTCCATCCAAGTAATGACATACTATTTAGCTCTAAAAAGAAATGAGCTCTAAAGCCTTGAAAAGACAAGGAAACTTAAATGCATATTACACAGTGAAAGAAACCAATCTTAAATAGCTGCATACATGTGATTCCAACCATATGACAGCCTATAAAAAGCAAAACTAAGGGAACAATTAAAAAGATTAGATTTACCAAAGGTTAGGGGGAGGCAGGAATGAATAGACTGAGTACTGACAATTTTCTAGGGCAGTGAAACTATCCTGTGGAATACCGTAATTGTGAATACATGTCATTTTACATTTGTATAAATGTACAGAAGGGATTCATTACAACAGTGGACTGGAATCTAGATTACGGACTGTGAGTAGTGATGATGTGTCAATATGGGTTCACTAACTGTAATGAATGTATCATTCTGACAAGGGATGTTGGTAATGGGGGAGTTGGGTATATGTGGGGGTCTCTGTATTTTCAGTTCGATATTGCTGTAAATCAAAACTGCAGTAAAAAACAAAGTATACTTTAAAAAAATTACTCTATGGTTACCCAAGATCAAAGAACAATCTTTTTTTTTTAAGAGAGATTTTTTTGCTACGGTGTGCACGCGCTTGCCAAAGTGACAGAGACACAGAAAGGGAGAAATCACCTCCAGGGGAGATGGCCATGCTGCAATCCCTTCTCCTCCAGTCTCCTATCGCGATTTTGGGCACACATGCACATACATCTGGTATGAGT